GATTCAACTCGTAAACATCTTTAAAGTGATCATCTGATTTTGGGCTGTCCCAAATTCAGCTTCCTGAAGCTGCCCAGCCACAGTTGTCCTGAGGATGTTCTGCTGCTGCATCTTGGCCGTATTGGGTTCGTTGTTGGACTCAGATGATTTTGGAGGGTTTTTTCCAACCTAAATGATTCTGTGGTTCCCTATTTTGGAGGGTTTTTTCCAACCTAAATGATTCTGTGGTTCCCTTCTTCAGATGTCTTTATTTCTGCTGACTGAGCCTACAAACTGTGTTACCTGTCTTGGTTACCTTCTCATTTCCCTTCGTGCAGTTGCTGGTTGGCATCTCTTCTTAACTAGTCCTGTCCCAGTCAGTGTCTTATGACCTGATGGTTCTTTTTACATCTATTTTGTATAATGTTTTTGTTGAAACTCTGGGAAAACTTTGCTTGGCCAAAATTTTTCTGGCCACCTGTGATTTTTATAGGGGAAATTCCCATATTTCTCATTTAAAATTCTCACTTTAGGTTTTTTTATTGAAGACAGCGAAGGGTGTCTTTTCTGTTCTTTTTCATCTTTGTTTCAGTATTCATTGTGCAGATGTGTATTAGCCTGGTGAAGCTGTAAAGCAGCCAAGTTGTGATGATCTTTACTGGAGGTGGAACAGTTTAAAGAAAGCTTTGCAGTCTGATTTAGTTGTTTGTCGTTCAAAATAATTTAAGAGAAAGATGCCTTTTTTTATTTACCAAACATTTGCAAGTAAACCTTAAAACCCCATCATAGTAAATAGCAAATAATTTTCTTTACAGGCTCTTTTCTTTCCTTGTGAAAAGATGGGATTCTTGCCAGCCATTAATGTTTTCAGAAGATTGCTGCTATTTTCTCCTTATTATATTTCAAACAGTAAAACATAAAAAATTGACGAGCTTTCTCAAAAAAAAAAAAGTATTGAAGTTTGACATCTCTTGCTAGAATACCATTTAACTTCTTTTCAGCTGGAAAATAAAGGATGTAAGAAGGGAAGATCAGTAAACAGTGCTGAAATAAGAGGATTTCTCTTAAGAAAAAATCTCAAATGATTAATTGCTTCTGGAACCTTATTCCACTGCCTTTGGAGTCAGTGAGAGGCTTTAACTTTATTTTCCCAAGAGAGCAGTGGGGCTCACTCTGACTGGCAGTCCCTCTTTGCTCTTGTATCTGTGATCTACAATACATTTATTTTAAAAATATGCAAAATGTTAAATTCAGAGTAAGTTTTGTACTTGGTAAAAGCTGTCTGTGTGCCTCCTGCAGATGCTGAAAGTACAGTTGTCAAGAAAACATCGTTTTTTCCGGTTTGCTAAGGAATGTGGTTGTGGCTGTGTATCAGTTTCGTGCACAGCAAGTTCTGAAGACTTTTTTAAGAGGGAAAAAAAAAAAAAAGTCGTAACTGGAGAACCCAAAATTTTAAAACGAACGGTTGTTAAGTTTTCCAAATTATTAATTGAGCTGTGGGTGAAACCAAGAACAGGACAAAGAACTTTGCACTGTGAAGCACCGTCGTGGCTTGAATGTACCTTTGATAAACCAAACAGGAGATTCTACAGAGGAAAAGAGGGACTTAAAACTCGGGTCTTGTTAATTGAGGTTTTGGCAAGCTGACCTTTTGGTCCTTTTTGAAAACCCCAGTGTGGGATGCACCGTGAGCGGTGTTTGAGTTCCTTGTGTCTTTGCTGAGTACAGTGTGGGGAAGGTTCCCTGTCCTGCTCTCCTGGTTGCTGTACTTGCCATCAGCTGCAGGTCTCTGGTAGGAGGGAGATGGTGCATTCCCTGAGAGCATCCGAGTTTATTTCTGGGGAGCAGCTTTTTGGAGGACTGGATGGAGACTGATCAGAAAGGAGCCTTCGGCAGCAATGGAGATGGAGGAGGAGAAAACCAGCAGTGTTGGTGCACACTCAAACATGGAAACAAAGACTTATTTCAGGGATGCAAAGGGATTTGCAAAATTGGGTTGTTAATGGATTGAGAACAAGCCTAAAAAAAAACTAAGTGAAACCGCAGTGGACCAGGGGAGTTACTTAAAAGTGTTTTATTCATCTTGCTTTTAGTTTTACTATTCACGAGTGCCATGTTTTATGTATTTTGCTAATAACACAGAGCTCTGGAGTTTACAGTGCTTTTAGTGTTTAATGATGCTCGTTCTGAAGGAGGGAACAGGCAGCTCCTCCATCACTCAACGACTCAGGGTCTCATTGCAGTGGTGGTAGAGAAAAAATATGAGCCTTGAGGCAGCCCTGGGCTTGGGGGCTGGAAATGAGCAAAGATCTGAGTCCCCTGAAGACTGAGGCAGAAGATTTGATTTGTATTTTGAAGAGACAGTGGGACAGAAATGTTCCCTCAGGTCTAGAAAAGAGCTGCAGAGAGCGTGACATCCCTTTTTTCGAAGGATTGGCCAAAAACTCAACTGGTCGAGCTCCTTTGTGGTCCGGGTGTCTTTGTGGCACCTGGGAGGGGCAGATGTTACAGAAATTAAAAGGAATCAGTCAGGCATTGGATTATTCATCTCATGGCTCAGATACATGACCTTTATATCTATAGAGTCCCCAAGAACCAAGTCATATCACCAGATTGGCAGAGACAGAACTGGGATTAAGAAGCTTGAACAGGAGGAACATGGCAAAGATAAACCAGGGCACAGGTGGGGCTGCTCACAGAAATATCTGAAGAGTATGTGTTAAAATGAGCATATTTAATTTAAATACATCTTACAAAGGTTTCCAAAATAAATTTTTAAAAAAAGGAAAAAACTAGCAAGACATCTCTTACAGCATTTGAAATTATTTACTTGCTCTGAGATGATAGGGAAAAGATGCAGTAGTTTCATCACGTACTATAGGTGAAGACTCCAGGAATCAGTTTGTTGAGACATTCCTTTAGAACGGTGTAGGATTTAAATCAAGTTAGAAGAAGACTTGCAGCAGAACTTTTGAATTGATCTCAGGATGATACTGCTGCGAGAATATGGGAAATGAAAATGGGAGGCGTTAGAGCCTGTTGAGAACTGGATGCTCTGGTTTTGGAAACATCTCAGTGGGTTAAAAGGACTAACTTTGGGGAATTGGTCAGATTTGGCTGGAACAGTGATAGATGAACACCCTGAGTTGACATCATAGAGTTCTTCTCTCTGCCCTGTGAGAAGCAAAGAAATGATATCATGAGTGCAGAGTGAGACGTGCTTGAAGTGTTAAGATACCTCAGGCAGGGAAGAAAAATCTACTTTTCCTCGAAGGAAGGATCCATCTGTGATAAAAGGGTCATTTTGAGGCTATGGAGACTCAGTCTGTCGAAGACACTCTAGAGAACTGGGGCAGAAAAGGTGTTTTCTCCTACATGTGGTGGTTATAGCTGTAACTGTGAAGAGGAGGAACAGAGAAATGTTCTGGATATTCCACAGTATTTTGGCATGCCACTTCTGCAGGGAAAATCCCTGAAAGATACAGAACAAACCAAACCCGATGAGCTGAAAGGGAGGCAGGTTGCCTTTCCCAGAGGATGGAGGTGGATGGCTGGGTGGGAGATGTACCCTGGGCTGGCAGGATAGAGGGGTTCAGAAAACTTATGTTCATCCTAAATTGAATCCAAAGAGGGTTAAATAGGTCTCACTCCTGGAAGTGCTGGGGTAGGAGGGAAAGAAAATGCCTGGTTTTGTCAGCTCGTGTCAGAAACCTTGTTTGTAAAGGGGAAAACTACGAGACTGAAGGAGATGTGCAGGGGGGAATCAAGGAAGGAAAACCTGTGGAACCCACTAGGAAGAAGGCAACCTGTGTAGGAATACTTTAAATGTGCTTTGTCCTTGGTGGGATTCGATGAGGGAGGGAAGAAGGGAGAGGACAAAAGTGGTTTAATGTCCTAATTTTCAATCAAGCAAGTGATTGATGAAGGCAAAAAAGAGAGGGCAGAGTGGACACTGGGGGGATCATTCATAAACTCTTTCTGTTACTTCACCTGAGTTTTTTTCTGTGCAATAAATGCATAATTACTGTAGTTTGTTCTAGTAAAACTCAGCTCTAGTATTAACAGTCATATTCTTGTGTCTTTTGGGTGTCTCTTTGTGGAAGGGTGAAGGAAAATCCACGTCTTACTTCAGTTCCTGCCAGGCAGTTTGTTAATACCACTAATCCAAGTTCTTCCATATGAGTGAAGTCTTGAGAAATCACTGTTAACTTGGGCATATTAATCATATCAGCAATGATAGGGAGGCCTCTGGGTGTGGGAGTGACCATTTGCATGACCGATAGTTTGAATGAAAATGATTTTTCTGAGGGGTATTGCTGAACTGTTTCTCGGTTAAAAAGTGAAAATGGGTAAACAAAAAGAAAAAGGTTTTTGAAAAATTGAAATTTTTAATCTTCACCAGTGACAGAAAGTGTAATTAGGTTTTGCTTTGGTTTGGTTTTGTGGCGGTTTTATTTGTACATTTAAGTACGAGTTATCAGCTTTTGAAATAACGAGAAATCAGAGAGGGAAAGGAACATTTTCTGCACTTCTAGACCAGCGACTTGAAAGCAGAATTAGATGCTTTGCTAGGCTTGTAATTGTGTTTTAAGCAAAGAAAATTTTCCTAGTTTTAGAAGCTAAATGAAGTTGGGAGCAATTTGCTGTATGATACGGAATACAGTGATTCAGCATTCGTGGTGGGAGCTATTTATAGTCACTCTATTTTTATTCAAAGCTAAACAATAGCACTGAATTTCAGGCAGTTGGACCAGATGCTCAGGAAGGTCTCTATTGAAGCCCAGGAAAATATCATCTTGCTGGATCCTGAAAGCTGAACTCGTGAGGTCCTTCAGCATTACAATTCCAGCGCTGTCCTCCAAAGGTGAAATCCGGGGCTGTACTGGGAAGCTCCACTGGCAGTGTCTCCCTAAAACGTAGTTTGTATCTGCTGTTAAGGGGTTATCAACATTCTTTGTATTTTATATCTGAAGAATTGGGCGATGTAATTAATCCCTGTTCATTTTAACCATCTCTTGCAGGTTTTCATGACTGTTCTGATTCCTGTTGCTGCAGCCAGCGTGGATCCGGATGCCGTGGCTACAGAGGCTTGTTACTTTCTCATGCTGGATCCCTCAAATCCAAGAGCTACTTGGCAGTTTCCAAGGCAACCACCTGTGGAATAATTAAAAAGGATGAAGTGTTAGCCTGCCAGATATAAGGAATCCTTGCCTGGAGAGAGCATTTCACTTTCGTCTGCCTTGAAGAATCAAATGTGCTTCTGCCAGCAGAGTTAAGGTAGTACAATTAAAAAGTACTGATTTATTTTCTGGAAGTACTGAAAGTCTGAGGTGGAGCAACAAACATGACATGACTGTAAGAAAATTGCCACCGTTCATATTTTGGGTATATTTAAACATAAAATCCAGGAGAAAGGTAGTGATGGAAAAAGCAGTGTGGGTGAACAGTATTTTGGATAAGTAAAACAGTTGCCTGGACTGTTTAGCGTTTTGTGCCGTCTTCCCTCAGATGATTTTAAGCTGGTAAAGGACTAAAACGGAGCATACATTAGTGGGAGCATAAATATAGGAAGTGCAGCCTTCATGCCAAGTACACTGAGATTTCTTTGGCATTCAGTGAAGTGATAGATATAAAAGGAATGTAGGAGTGGGCTCCCTGCAAAATGACAGTCGGAATCAGGGATCGATCTTCATCCCAGAACCTAAAGGGGTGGGCAGTGACTAAATCCATGTTTAAACTGAACTGATAATCAGGTTTAGCTGCTTTGGTGAAACAGCAGCCCAAACCATTTTGAAGCCCATATTTCCCAGATTCAGAGCTGAAATTGCATTGTGGAAAAAAACAAATAATAAGTGAAAGAACCCCATTAGAATAATAAAGAATAACAAAAACCAGCAGATTCGTTTCTGAAAGTTTGAAATGTTGCTACAGAAGTTGGTGGCAAAGCTGTTAGGCTTTAGATAACTGGAAAAGTTCTTCTACAAGTAGAATATCTTACTGGATGTATCTGCTTATTATATCTTCCTTCTCTGCCAGTCATTCAAATGTAGTTGAATAGAAAAATATTATTCATTTCTGACAATGGAGTTAAATGGAGAAAACCACATTCCCATTCTTCCCATAGTCCAAATAACTGCTCAGTTAAGTCTGGTTACCTTGCCTGATGCTCTTGTACAGTTAATTTTAGGCGTGATGCTTTTATATAGTTTATTTTAAGCAAAAAAAAAAAAAAAGTTCTAAATTTTGAAGTAGAAATATTTGGGATGCCATCTGGGCTTTACATAATAAATTTTCCCTGCCAAAATGTTTGTGGGATTCTGTTGGGATGTGGATGGGATTTCACATTCCATCCCTTCCACAGCACAAGAGGATCATTGTTTTTTAGATACGGTGGGTCCAAGAAGAAATAAGAATTGTGTGGTGGCACCTCTGTGATTTGAGGGAATACAAACAGAATCTCTCCAGTAACCACTGACACCTTTTACAGCTGTTTCCCAGTTTCAGAAGTGAATACTTGCAGGTACCAACTGAGTACAACTGCAGTTTTCCACCCTAATACTTGATTTCCAGTTCATTGGTTCATTGTTCACTACATATTAAATGCTAAATTGTTTTTCTTTTTGAAGTAATTCTTCAGGCTTTTCAGTTCCTTTCAGTGTGGAGCTGAGAAAAGTGAGGTTTTTTGAGACAAATGCTGTTTTCAGATGTGAAGGGAGTGTACTGGCAAAGCGTCTACACCAGACACAGTGGAGAGGCTACAAAATTGAGACACTGCAAGTACAGTAAAGGTAGTTGGTGTGTGTGAATCCAAATCTTTCCAAGAAGCATAAATAACTCTCAAAGGTGGAATTGGATAGTTGTGAAAGAGCATTTTTGGGTGTATTTGTGTAATAGCTGGGTAGCAATCGGGTAAAGGATTGCAGGATTCCCAAGGGTGTGCACAGAGAAGTTTCATCTTGGATACTCCTACAAAACATACTAAACACACACAAGAACCTCCATTTTTCTGTTTTGCCTTGAATACTGTGGGCGAGAGTCTTCTCATGAAGCTTAGATGTCCAGGTTCTGCTGAAGCAGGTGGTGAAAAGCAGGTAGGATGAACAGCTCCCTGAAGGTTCCTGTTCCAGGGATGACCTGCCTCTATAAAGGTGCCTGTAGAAAAGAACCTCTCTCTCTCCATGGATAGTTCAACCTGAACCACTGATTTAGCCTGTTTGTCTGACATTTCAGAAACTTCTGAGTGTGTAAATAAATGCATTTGTATATCAAATTCATCTCTGCTTTTTTTCTCCATGTTTCATTCCAGCCAGAGCTTCCCATGCTGAGTGGAGTTGCACTTCATTCCTGGTACAACCCCACTTACTCATCCTCCTTTTCCCAACTCGGTCATTTGACCCTGGCAGTTTTTCCAGGCTTCATCTACAAGCCTGTGGTTCAGTATGGAGGGTACTGGAGAGGCCCATGGAGTTTGTTAACATAGTTTGTAACAGAAATAAAAACATCCAGGCTAAATTTAGGCAACTGGGCTGTGTGAAAGAAACTACAGTGACCAGGCAGAATTGAGTTCTGATGTTTTGTATATAGGTTATGTTTTAATGATCTTTATCCCTGAGAAGTTTTACAGGACTAAAGGGGAATAGTAGCTCAGGAGTAGTGATTTGTTCAATAATTTTAATCTCTTAAAGTGATTCAATACGTGTCAACATAGAAGTTGTTTCTGTAGCCTTGACTATAAAAAATTAGTGCTGTATGCACCCAGAAAAAGTAAAATTTTCTTTGTGGTCTCTTTTCTGTAGCAGAAGATTTATGTTATGCTCCATGTTGAAGTAACTTGATGATGTCTTTTTGAATGGAAAAAAATGGCAAATGCTGATATGGTAACTCTCTTAGAGATTATTTTGATGCTGTGGTTAAAATTTTCCCTTATTTTTATACCATCAGAACAACTGTATCAAGAGTCAATTACTGTGTGGTAGTGTGTCATTAAAATACCCATTAATTTTGTTAAATAGATAGGGCTGTTTCCTAGAATAGGCAGGACTTTGATCTTGTTGCTTGGAAATCCAGGTAATTTTTCAGGTTGGGATTTTTCAAAGGGAGTTTCTCTTCTTAGCAAGAGGTGCATGTAGTGAAAATGAGCAATAAGCAGCAAGTCACCTTCCAGTTAGTGGAAGAGGGAACTCAAATAGTGAATGGACCCTTTTGTCTAGGCTTCATTTTCCTTTCAAAAGGAGGGAAGTGTTTTGCTGCACTTTGGTGGATGAATGGTTTGTGGGGATCAAAGCTGCATTGCAGTGATAATGGTTTTGCATATAGAATTATCTGAGATGACTGATAGACCTTATGCTTAGTCACCAGATCCCTCTCTGCCCTCCAGCTGCTACTGCTGTGCAATTTGGATATGCCTTTCCAGTTTAGTTCAGAGGATTTTCCCTGACAGATTACACAGAAAGAATAGAATGAAAAGGTCCAACAACTTTCCTGTTATTTCAGGGACCTGTTGATCCCTCTTTGAAATCAGTGAAATAGCTAATAAAATGTTTGGGGGTTTTTTTAGCAGTAGAGTTGTTGGTATTAGCCTGTTTAGAGCTCCCCCTTTGTGGTGTGAAACTAGATGATGTGATCTGTGTTGTGATATTTATAACAGGCAAGGAAGAGATGCTGGCACTGTAACAGTCCTTTGGGATATTATATCTGTGACAGAGAAAAGGACTCACAGAGAGGTAGTGAAGGTTAAGAGCAGGAGAGCAGCTCTCCTTGTACACTCATCTAGAGCCATGGCCACAGGTGGGTTTTTGAGGAGCACAGGAACAGAATGAGAGTAAGATCCTCCTTCTGCACACTCTTCATTCTCCAGGCATCTGTAGCACAGGGATTTACTGAGCTAGATTGCTTTTTTTACAATGATTACTGGACTTGTCTTTTGGAATTCGTTAATGAGAAGTATTAAGAGCTGTAAAACTCAGTGGTTCTCCAGCCTACCTAACATGGCAGCTTGTTCAGTGAGGAACCATGTTCTTTTGTTTAGTTTAGAACCAGAACTCCATAAAAAAATCTGCTTCTTGCACTGGAAGTGACTTAGATAATTCATACATACTCTCTCCATGACAATCACAGTTTTCTGGAGCTCAGCCTGCTCCAAGGGTTGAGTCAGTTTGGATCCTGCTGATCTCTACATGAGGTAGAACCACTTTCCCCACCTCCAGTCATCCTATTTCACACTTAATTTCATGGAGATTCCTCCTGAGTTTCATTGGTGTATATTTTACTGTCCAGTCAGTAATGTACACACAGTCCTTTTTCAGTTTTTCCCACTCATTTACTGCTTTTGCTACTGCGAACAACTTCAGTATCATCAACAGATGTTGTCATCTCACTGTTGAGCCCTTTTCATGTCATTTATGAATTCATTGAACAGTGCTGGGAACAGATCCCAACTCAGATCCTCGTGGAGAGAAGAGCTGAAATGGCACCAAGTCCTGCCAAAAGCAGAGGGTGGGTTTGCCCGCTGCTGCACGTGGCACAGCTGAATTTGTAGTAAAATCACTGTGTTGTTTTGGTACACTTAAAAATCTGGAGTAATTGTAAAATATTTAGTAGGAATGGATAATTTCATGTATAAGATACGGTGTCGTCCTTTCGTCACAGAATCACTGAAGTCAGAAAAGACCTTTAAGATCACGAAGTCCAGTTGCGTCAACCCAGCACCCCCACCATGTTCACCACTAAACCATGTCCTCAGGTGCCACAACCACGTTTTTCGAACACTTCCAGGGATGTTGACTCCACCACTTCCCTGGGCAGCCTGTTCCAGGGCTGCATTATTTGTAATTTCACCTTTGAAAGATAGGGAGGGGAAGGAATTCTTGTATTTAGATGACTGAGGATGATATTTAATATTCAAAAGGGCCAGACCTGCTTTGCTCACAGCATTTTTCATCTTATGAGCTTTTAGTCTCAAAATCAGCTTGGTTAGAACTTACTGGTTTATCACTCTCTGCATTGGTGGTGTGCAGAAAATAATGTTGAATAAGGTAAATTAGGCAGTTGAATAAATCTCCACAATCATAAATACATACAGGTTTTAGATGATTTAATGTAGGAAATTGCCTTCAGAGTAGAACTGTTAACTTGTTCTTGTTTTCTAACATTAACATAGCAAACTCCTAATACATAACTGAGCCAGAACTGAAGGACCTGTAGCATAAAATAATTTTTCTCATGGTTAGCCTGTAGCTGCAACTTAGGGAAGTGTCCAAGAACAGGGAATGTAGTTC